TTATATATTATATAAATAAAATAATAATTATTTATTATATACACTTATGTGTATATAATGCAGTGGAGATTTGAGAACAGTACCATACAAAACAGTATGGATTATTCATATCAAAGTAACATGAGACAGATGAGAATAGTTCACTTTTAGACATTGGAAAAAAGTTAAAATACCCCTTGCCTTGTATAAGACCTTGCAACTTTCTGCTACACATCCTCTTTCATACTCCCAGTGTCACAGCCCAAGTTGCCACAGGCACATTTCTGCCAGCCCTGGGATAGCCAGCAAGATCCCCCCTGCAAGCCACTGCACAGGCACGGGAATGTACAGGAATGCTCTAACTCATTCACTGGATTTATTTATTTTTCAACATAAAATAAACCATCTCACTAAACCTCGTTATAAAAAAGAGGGTTGCGTATACAATTATATAACAAATTCTCACCATGTACCTCATAAATGAAATCAAAGGACAGCATCAGGACCTTCTGACTTTCTTCCATACGCGACTTCTTTGCACTCAGCTGAGAGTGACGAATGCCCATCTCCGCTGTCTTGGGGACAGCCAGGGAAATCCCCGCTCCGGGTCCGTGCAGGCACGGTGCTGCCTGTGCTGTTGAGCTGGGCTTGGGGCTAGCGTGTACACCGGCCAGGCTTCGCACAACGGGGACACAGCACTTGGAAAGATTTTACTGAGGGTTATAAAGTTCTGGTGGGGACGGACCCAACTACCCCCATGTTAAAAGCTGCACCAACTTCGACCCTTTAAAGAACTTGGACTCCAGTTTGCTTCTCCATGGGCGTGCCTGTGCCACACACTGTCATTACAGTCTGTAACTAGTCTAGCTCAGGGCTAAATAAACTACTGTACATGGATTTCATGTCCCCATGCCTGGTAGCAAAGCTATAGCATTTAGAAATAGCTGGGTATGTGCACGGTGCCACGTTACAGTGTAGACATACTATGGTTTGTGGCAAGTTGAGCAACACCCCTGTGTAGGCTCCTGTTGTTTCCGTTTAAAGAACCCCTTGCCTGAATGGCTGGTTGCAACATGATCTGAGCTAACCTACGGAAGCTCATCTCCCCAAGCTTCTTCGGGAGTCAGGGAGACTCCTTGAGAAGAGGTTGGGTGACTCAGAGCAGAAACTTCAGGTATTCTGAGCTGCCCCTCTGAAGATGCAGTCCTGCTCTCCAGTGGTCCAGGAAGACTGATTTCCCCGATTCCTGACACAGATAGCATTTTCACTCTTCTCATTTATTTCTCACTATCTTTGCATAATATGTAGCATGAGGAAGCCCTGTTCTCTGTGCCAAGCCTCTAGATATTGCTGTGACATGAATAACTTTTTTTTTTATAAGACAGATTTTAATCATAATATTGGGAGTCTTGTCTTTACATTTTCTGTGACCCAAGAGGAATTCAAATGTTAGTTATGCTCTGGAGCTCAGTGCAGTCTGCCTCTATGTCAACCACTATATTTCTGTGCTTGCAGATTGAGTGTCATCCATACCTAACCCAGGAAAAGTTGATCAAGTACTGTAAATCCAAAGGAATTGCTGTGACTGCTTACAGCCCCCTTGGCTCCCCTAACCGCCCATGGTAAGAAAGCACTGCAGCCTTTCTCTACGTAAAATACATTCACAACTTGAATCTTTGAGAAAAATTATGTAAATAATGCAGGTATAATAATAAGAAAACTAATGTTACTTTGTGGCAGATTATTTACACAAAACATCAGGCTTCCTGCAGGGAAGCTAATGCCTTTCTACCATCAATATCCTGGCTTTTATTTTTAATAGGGCTAAGCCAGGGGAACCTGTGCTGCTGGAAGATCCCAACATTAAAGAGATTGCAGTTAGACACCATAAGACTCCTGCCCAGGTAAGTGGGGTTGTCAGGGAAAACTATTCCTCCTCCTCAGACAATTTTAGAAGCTGATGGCCAGTCTTAGCAGATACTGCCTTCTCTAGAGATACAGTATAATGGGGTTAAGCTGCATTTGATTCTTCATACTGTCCCAGTTCTTACCAGCACTCATACAAGTCATCAGCTATTTTCTGAGAGGTCTTGAGTGGTGAGCTTTGGGAAGGAGCTGATCAGCAGTGGTAAGTACTTACTTCAGGTGTCCTCCTTCCAAGAGAGATTTCTTCTGCTCCTGGAGAGAAGTGCTCGATACTTGAGAACCCCTTTCCTCTGAGATTTACTTACAAATCTTCAAGCCAACTCATTACTCCTCTCTCCAGCTAAGTTACCTAAGTGATTCTTCAGAGAAGCCCGGTTATTTCCAGACTCATTTGATTGCTCCTTGTTTGCTCGTGTTTACAAAGAATCATTGAGAGCTGCTTGATTATTCAAGATTAATTTTTTGCTCTGTAAATTGCTAGTCACATAAACGAGTTCTTGGCCAGGGTGTGCAGGAATTGCACTTCAAAAAAATCCACATGTTCACAAGCTATCAACCGTAGTTGTATTTTAAGACAGGCAGAGCATGACAAAAATTTGCATGCAACAGTCCTCTTTTGAGGGGATGAAAACTTTTGAAATCTATAAAAATTGTTTTTCTTTTAAGGACTTCAAAAAGCTTAACCTGAGTGAGGTACTTACTTGTGAGCCCAAAATAATCTGCAGTAGCACTATGCTTATTTGGTGGGAGCACCCATGTAACATAAGCCAAAACATCATCATTTTTCTCTCCCCCTCCCACCCTTAATGAAAACAAAACAAATCCTGGAGAAGCTGGGGTGTAGAAACAATATAGACGAGAAACAATTATAGTTTGTCAGTAGACTGCAAGCAAACATCAAACCGGTAGAGTCTTCCAAAGAGTGAACGTGGTTGTAGAAAAAGTAATTGGTCTGTGCGCGCAGGGGCGGGGGGGGGAAAGATAAGAGATAATAAAAAATGCATTTGAACAGATTTCTTGGTACCCCTGTGTACACACTCCCCCTTGCCCTTTCCTAGGTTCTGATCCGGTTTCTTATCCAGAGAGACGTGATCGTCATTCCCAAGTCTGACAAACCACAGCGCGTTGAGGAAAACATCAAGGTGAAGTTTCTATTCGGACTGCTGCCACCTTTTTAGACAGGGTAGGCACCCACACCCAGCTCCTCTGTCTTTCCAAGCAGCACCTAAGGCACTGGAAGGGGAGCACAGAGATGTAAAGACCGGGGCTCAGCACTGCCTGACCATCCGCACTGATTCTCTGGGGAAAAGCGTTTTGTTCCTGCCAGGGGAAAAATGCGTTATACCAGAGTGGTCCGAGCTCCGCTGCCCTGGAAAGGGAATCCCAGTTTTGTGCTTACCCTCTGGGAGATGCTGCGTGAGCCCCTCTTTAGGGTGTAAAGGAAGAAATTGTCAACACCAGCCTGTTACCGTTCGTATCTCACTTTGAGGCTGTGGTTGCTCACTCATAAGGCCTGGCATCTTAGGTGATATTTCTGTGTTATTTTCATTCATGCTGCTAAATTCTGGACTTATTTCTCCTATGAACCCCCAGCAAGAATTCTTAGATGATTGATTACCTGCGACACAATGATTTTCAGCTGGTACCCAGTAGCCCTCTGCTGTAGCAGAAATACTTACTGCTAGTTCCAGTATTTGTGACACGTTCGGTAATCCATCCTTGGCACCTTCAGTTTTCTGTCTGTGCATCACCGCTCAAACCGCAGTGGCGTTTGCGTACCCAGAGCTGTAAGACGTCGCCATGAACAGCACCTCAGAGAGAAAAGGACTACCTTGATTACTTCAAGGGTAAATTGATATTTGGCTGAGAAACAAGAGGATTTCTTAACTATGCTTAGTGTAGATGCAGTATCTTCCTCCTTCAAGTCAGAAACGCATGAAGGACACTTAGTAACTAACTACTTATGAACCTAAGTAAAAAGGGCTTGCTTTTTTTGTTTTCCCCTGCTAGGTGTTTGACTTTGAACTGTCTGAAAAGGAGATGGACATCATCCTCAGCTTTAACAGGAACTGGAGGGCAGTTCCAGCGCTCCAGTATGTTCCTTATTATCCTTATTACCCACTAGGCCTATCTCTATGTGTCTTTTCATCCCCTATATCTTGAAAACATACACGATCAAAACCAGGGAGAGCTCATATCTTAAACGCTGGTCCCCAGGTAACGAGACACGGCCCAGAACTGATCTTAGGAGGGAGATTCATTCAGGGCATTCCCTTCAGCACCGTGGTGTGCCATGTGCTTGCTCACGAGCCTGTGTTCAAATTAACAGCAGCAAAACTTGAGTACGTTGGCAGTGGGGGAGGCAGACTGCAGTACAGAAATGCTGCTGAAGATACTTTCTACAATACTTAAATAACCAGTTGTTTTCTCTTCTCAGAGCTGTCAATCACAAGGATTACCCATTCAAAGCAGAATATTAACGCTAGTGGTTTCTGCGAGACCTCCGTCTAACTCCTTCCACTTTAGAAGATGTACGCTGTAGCTTGGTCTTGACTTCTTCTTCTGTACTTGGCAATCATTACAAGCAGTTACTTGTCTTCCTTTTTTAGGAGACCACTAGCTGGTGCGAGAATGCACCAGTAGGGATGGATCTTTTGTAAAGCTGGTTAGCAGAAATCTGTGTTTGATTAATAGTAAAAAGACAACATCTCTTAATTTCCTTTTTTCCTTGTCTTCCTTAATTAAAGACATGTTTAACAAACCCCTCTGGTTACTTACACTGTTTTTCATGTTATTTCCAGTGCTGTCAGTCATACTGGTTCATGAGTTGTTGTCAAGGAATGCTCACTTTAATTACTTTGCTTTTTACATAGTTGTGATTTTTATAGTGTGAATCTCTAATGCTTTAAAAATTTATATGAATAAAGTTTGAATTACAACAAAACTTAATCAGTGTAGTGCTTAAATTGTTTCCTACGATTAGTTATAAAAACATGCCTGGTCTGTTTTTTTTTTTTTTTAATTTTAATACAGATAGAAATGAGCTTCTATAATTCCTGTACAAGGACAATACATAGAGATTACTTTGCAGCTTATGCATCAAATAGGATTGTGCTCTAGCTAGAACCTAAAGAACAAAGTTGTACCTATTCATGTAGCCCTCCCTCTGAACTCTTAGAAATTGAAGACTTGTGTGATTAGTGATAAAAAGTTGAAGACAACATCATATGTAGTGATAACACACATCAAAATACAAAATCAGATGGACTTGCTCTGAAAGTACCAAACACAAAATTAGATTTTTGCAACTCTGCTGGGAGCATTCAGAACAATATATCCAGACAACGGTTGGCTTTATTTAAGGAACACATAGAAAAACTTTTCATTAAAAACACCAAAGCAAACCCTGAGGTAGACTCACAATTTTCAGGTAGATAATGCTAGGCCAAAGCAAAGGCAGGCTTGAAAAAGGCTGTTTTGTGGCATTCTGCACAGTGACAAGAGAAAGTCTGGCTGGGATGCCAAGTAAGCTGCAGGAAAGCATCATCAGTAACTAAGGTGACAATTTGGTATTGTCTGAAAAATCATCACCTCATGACAGTACCAAAACGCCAAAAACACTTGTAGTGGTGCCAGCTGGTGGGAACAAACCACGACCACACCATGCATTTCCTAAAAATAAAGCCGATTTTGCAGCATGCTTCCACTCTCTCAGAAAAGGCAATAACCAGGAGCAGAAGAAACATATCTACATCAACAAGGAAAAGCATCACTTCAGCACAGCTTGCAGAGAAACGTAGCAATGCAGTTGGGCAGTATGAGGCAGGAGAACAGGCATGCTTGCAAGCCTACAAGCTCTTTTCAGGTTAAATTAGGCAGCATCTGATTATTTCCCCCCAGCAGTTCAGAAAGCTGTGCTTGCTGCAGCCTTCCCATTGCTTCCCATGGAGCTGGCAGCGGCCGGGGGGGCCTCTTTCGGATGACCATGACCTGGTTAGAGCAGGGCGTTACGTGCTGTGCTGCCCTTAGAGCAAAAATGAAGTGGATAGGAGGACGACGGGAGAGCCAGCGGCTCCCCAGGCTTGGTCCCGGCGATCACCCAAGCCTGGAAGCACATCCCACCGAGGCTGGCAGAAGAAACACAACGGCTTTCACACAGAAAACACTTTTCAAAGCAGGAAAGCAGACGCTGTACCGCTCGCTGAGCACACTGACGTCTGGGCGATGCACAGCTCCCGTCTTGTACTGACAGGCACGACAATTCAGATTTCTCCCCCCGCCCCCCCAAAGAATATGTCAGTTAAAGCTGCTGATTTTGTGAGTTGGCTGTCTGCTGTAGAACAGTACATCAGGAGAGGCATCCTTTGATGACTTCTTCGCAATGATACCGTATCTTACACCGCCTTAGCACGATCCCGATCCCCGTTACAATGGGTGGCTCATTCCTACTCATTAACAAACAGGGGGCTGCTGATGGAAATATTCCATTTATTGTGGATGCAGTTTCAGAATACATTGTTTGAACAAATCGTTTTTATTGCAGCTATTGGATGTATTTAAAAGACTCAGAGGAGTGTTTACAAAACCCCCAAACAAAAAACATGACAACTCACAGACAATGTCAGGCACAGTTTCACCCCCTGCAGATAACTACGTGCATCTCTATATGTAAACAAGATGTTTCAGCCAAGCAGGGGAGCTCATCTTTGGGTTGAAATTTAACATTATTCTTCTTTAGGAAGAAGTGAGATACTGTAAGAGATGGAAGCGGTGAAAAGGGAGATCCTGGCAGTTCCGATGAACAACAAAGCTGTTAACAACGTGCTCAGGGGCTACTTCAGTTGCTCAGTTTATGCCACCCATACACTGTAGAATGTAAATGCTAAACTGTATGGCATGTAAATTCAAACCAAGCTGACGTCTTATAGCCATGTGTTTACTATATACAAATGAAAACATCTGTAAATAAGATATTCTGGAGAGAGAGTTAAAAAGAAGCACTATAAAGATAGAGGTTTACTTCATTTTAGGTGGACTTAGTGTACGGCACTGATGGATGGCAAGATTTAGTGTACAGTCATTTGAAACAAGCTCCAACTGTGTTTAGGGTTTTTTTTCTTTTTAATTATGGTAGGTTTATATAAATTAAACTACAATGTTTTATACAAGTGACCTATTTTTGACCCTCTATACCCTTACCTTTTCCTCTTTTAAAAACTATACTTTCTTTTTAATTACCCATCACTGGGCAACTGACATTTAAAATTTTTTAATACTTATCTCACCATACCTCTAATGGCAATTATGAAATCTTACTATAGAAAAGTGTGTGATTTTGTCTGTAATTTTTAAGCTGTGATATTGGCTAATTATGTCTGTTTATTACTAAATATAATACTCTAGCACGTATTAAAGCATTCTACCATTAGTAGTGCCTTTAGGCTAAACTTCGTAAAGCTATGTGTGTATATATTCTAAATTGCATTCAGTTACTAGTCACTAACATCAAAAAGGAATATCAGTACCGCTGTCAGCTAACATAGTCATCCAAATTTAGGTATTAACTTAAACTAGAATGGAAAAATTGATACTTAAAAAAAGTATAAAACAAAAAAAAATTAAAACATGTTATTGATGCAGTATTTCTCATGACATGGGCAACTTACAGAAAATATTACATTGTCAACTAAAGATATTTCTTCCATGCCTTAGTCTAAAGTGCAGAAAGAAAGACTTCCGTATTCCAAAAGTAACCATTGTTTTTATCGGTTTACTGCACACCCTGCTTAAGCAACTTCACTTTACACGCATTTTGGGTTGACCTCTTATGCCAGCTGAAATCACTGTTCAGATACATAGTTAGTTATGCCTATCAGTAGGAGAGTCTATATATTTCACAGCATGGGTTTCTTTAGGAATAAAGGCTCTTGTGCAAAGGCAGTACTATTATGATGAATGTCTAGACTGATTATTAAATACAGTGCTAATATACATGGTTTTAACTGGGATAATGCAAAAAGACATTTTGGTAAATAAACATAAATATAAAAAGAACAATTTAGCACTTTTTCCTTTTTTTTTTCCCCAACCGATTGGTCCAGCGTCATTAGTAGCCTTCTACGGTTCTTTCTCAAATTGTCTCAAACCTGCTGAGAAAGAGAAAGATTAAAGATGGCTTGAAATAACCTGAATGCATCTCTCAAATAGAGAGGGCATGGCTCTAAGTTAACACACAGCATGTAAGAAGGCAGGACACAAGCTGGCTGCTGCTGTGCCTGCCTCCTGGGATCACTCAGAGGTGATACCCAAGAGGATGAGCAGGATTTCACCACAAGACTGTTCTCAGCTCCAACAGCCCCAGGAAGCAGCTCAGGGAGAGCTCAAGAGCTTCCCACCCAGAAACGTGGGGGGTGTTGCACCCAGCGCTCCCCTGCCTCGCTGCCCCCCAGCCATGCGC